AACTCTCGCGACTTTCTTAAATTTCTTTCGAAATAGATAATTAGCGAGCTATTTCTATAATTTTAGCTTAGAAGAAAGAGTATTTCTATATACTTATTAGAAATCTTTTTTAATAGTAAAGATAGCGACGAAGACTAAGTAGTACGCTAATAGACTATTATTAATACTATTATCTTCGAGTATAGCGATATATATCTATTTTCTTAGCTTCGAACGTTATCTTATAATAACTATATTTCTTTTATCGAATTCTACTAAGATATTAGTATATTAAGAGGCTTAGACTATCTTATCTTAATCTAGAAACGTCTAGTAAAGTAAGTCTTCTATAGTAGTCTTCTTAGATATATATATTTATAGTTCTTCTTTCTAAATTTCTTCTCTTCTTTCTTATTCTCTTATTAAGAGAAGACTAGTCTTCGCTAGAGGCTAGTTCTTTATAATAAATAAAGAAGAAGAATATAGCGATATCGATAGAGATACGGCGCTACTAGAGAAGCTCTCTCGTTCGGGCTCGCGTCTCTTCTAGAAGCTCTCTTAAGTAGGGACGTTCTAGCGCGCGGCTCGGGCGGCGGAGTTCTCTTAACTAGTAGCGCGGCGAGATCTCTCGATACTTTCTATTATAGATCGCGAGCCTTATAAGTCTACGATTACTTCTATAGTAGCTATTAGCTTTATAAATATTACTAGTTAAGAAGAAGAAAAAAAAGGTTTAAATATAGTATTAGAAGTAAGATATATATCTATAGAATTACGTATAATTAGCGCTTTACGTAATTTAGCTTTCTTAGTCTCTAATTAGCTAGAAATTAATATCGTTTAAGACTCTTAAGCTCCTAATTAGTCGGAAGTAGTTTCCGAATAATTCGGCGCTAAGCCGTTTTTAGAATTAATTAGAATTATACCTATTTTAGATATCGACTCGTATACTTCGATATCTAGCTAAATTAACTTAATCGATAGTAACTTATTATCTTTATATAGAAGTAGTAAAAACGTCTCGTTATCGTTAAAGATAATATCTTATATTCGTATAATCTAGTCTTTATTAGATTACTAGATTCGAAAGATATTTATTAAATCGTACTAGATAAGATACCTAATCTATACGTATTATTAAAGTTTATCTTTCTATAGAATATTATACTATAATACGTAGACTTTATAGCCGTATACGTATATATACGAGATATTAGGTTATTATCCGTATAGTATTTTGAATAGCGTTTTCTAGCTAAGCGTACGAGACGATAATCGATTTAGAATATATTCTATAGTTTTTACTATCTTAGACTATAGATTCTTTAGTAGATTTATATATAGATATATTATTTAAGCTATATTAATAAGTAATTAATCTACTTACTTCGTATAACTATTTTAAGTAAGAGTATATAATATACTTTATTTAGTTATTAGATCTCTATCTCGTACGTTATTATTATAGATCTTCGATAGTAATCTTTCTCTATCTATTCTAATAATTCTAATATTATAACTATATCTTATATAAATTATATTTATAAAGTCTTAAACTATTTAGAATAATTAATACTTTCGTAGATATATATAGACGAAATATATTCTTATATAGTAATCTCTAAAATAGCTAATCTATTCGTCTCTATTATAGATTATATTAAGAGATATTAAGTTATACGAGACTCTATTAAATAGTCTCGTTACTAATTCTTCTTATAATAAGTTTTAAGAGATAATCTAGATTACTTTTAATAATCGATAAGGCTCGTATTAAATAGAAGTAATCTTCTTAATCTTCGGGAGTCCGATTACTATATCTAGTAGATATTAGAGCGCTTTATATTCTATATACTCTATAACGGCGTATAGTCTATCTAGAGAGTCCTTATAGAGAGACTTACCCTCTTAAGCTATAATAGCGGTAGTAGCGAGAGTCTATCTTATCGGCGCTAATACTACGCTAGAAGCCGCCCGCGTATAGAGTATTACGAGAGAAGCTAACGGCCTTATAATAAAAGCTTCTTTAACTAATCTTGACGCCGCGGCGTTAGGAGTAGTCTTTAGGGTTATAGAAGAAGAAGAAGAAAGAATAGATATAGAGTCGAATATATATAGTTATTAAGACGCTAAGATAGGGTCGTCGAAGAGTACCTAGTAACCGTCTTTTCTCCGTACGTAGTATAAATACTCGTTATTTAGTATTAAGGCTTTATCTAATATATTCTAGTTAATATTCTTATTATATAAGCAAAAGAATAATACTAGGTTCGTTATAAACTCTAGAATAAGAGTAACGTTAAGTAGTATAAGTTTCTTAACTCTATTTTTAGTAGATATATATAGTTTAATACTTCTAAATACTTTAATAGAATATTAATTTATCTCTATAATAAGAA